ACATATATTCCGTGGAAGATGGCGTAAATTTGGCTCCTCTAGATTTTATTATGTATGGCAAATATTGATTAGATGTTAAGCTCTTTTACTATTAACTATTAATATTTTTACTAATTTTCTTTTAACTTTTGCTAGATCCGGGCCCAACATAAATGACGGCTCGGCTTACAGAGCGAGCCAACTGTCTGCAATCGCTTGCTTAACTTGGTTTTCCACATAAATGAATCAAAGTTTTGGTTCAAGTCCTGCATTGTCATTTTTTTAAATATTTTAATAAAACAAATTAATTTTAATTTCTAATTGCCCGTTTATTTGTGCTAGCCCACCCTTAAACGATACTAATTTGGACCAAACCATTTTGAATAGAATCGGGGTTTGGTTTATTGGACAGCTGGATTGATTGATAATTCCGGGCTGGAACCGGCTCGGTTTAAAACTAAGTCCAAATTAAGACCTCGTTGGGAGATGTGTAGTCAGGAGGCTCAAGAGAAGATCTTTTAAGGACCGCCTCCTACTACGACAGAGGAGACGCCCCAGAGTCTCCCGTTGTCCACAATAAAGCCTGAGGATCCAACCAGGCCTGGCGAAACATCACCTTAGCCAACTGTGTTGTAATAAAAATGTATGCTATTCTTGATCCAATACAATAAACGTTTATAAATAAAAATTGAAAAAAAAAGTCCAAATTAAGTTTTTTAGTCCTCGGTGCGTAAACACAGACGAAAAGAACAAGAATATATATAAGTAAATGGGTTGCAGATGCTTCGTCCTGCCAGTTACATACTTTTGGGAGAATACTTTTTTATTTTTATCATTCGCAATGGGTGCAGGGTACAATAAAGCTGTTCCAAAACAAAAGTTTTTGTTTTTCATTTTGCTTTAAGAGGTATATGCAGAAAAAGTTAAAAGTAGTTTTCATTTAATTTACGGGTCAGGCGTGGGGGCTATCGTAGCAAGAGGCCGGCATGGCAACTGATCGCAGCACAGTTGTTTAAACTTTAAGCTGGATTTGCTTTTGTGTGAGTTTTTAGGACAAAGGCAAAAAGTTTTTATTTATATTTGTGCTGTATACATGAAGCACTTTACTCAATTAATTTCCTAATTGGTTCAAGCAATGCTCAAAGACACGCACACACACGCATAAACACACACACACATACACACGTACACACACACGCACCCACACACACTGCGGAATGGTTTGAGTGCTCAATAATGAAGGCCTTATGAGCACTGTGGGCGATAATCTAATAAAAGTGCACGAAATTTGCGAAACACTTTTGCTAATTGTGGCGTTACGAGTAAAGCGTTAAAGTTAAAGCTCTTAACTTACCCCGCATGCAATGTCAAAGCTGGTGCGCTGGAGCGTAAGTTGGAGCTGGAGTTGGAAGTTGGAGTCGGAGCTTGGAGATGAGCGGCTTGATAGCTACTTCTGCTTTGCGAGATTATTAAGTGTATTTCGTAATACTTGAGCGTTGTCCGACCTGTTATGCCCTCAACATGATAAACTTAACTATTTTGTTTAATCTATTTTATTGCTTGGCATTGAAGTTGAAGTGCGAATGCACAAGTTGTTTTTAATTAGCAAGCTCAAGAGAAGGGCAAGTGTCTTGAGTGATATTTGACGTTAGCACTTTAAAGCTCAAATTGCTGCTTGTCCATTCCGTTTCAAATTAAATTGATTATGTATGCTAACAAGACTCCGTTCAACAGATACAAGTTACATTTACTATTAATTTCTCAATTTAAATCTTTGTCAGTTAACCCTATTTTCAATAAAATAAAAATTTGTTTGGGCGGACATTTTTTCTGTTTATTCGGAAGAGTTGGAAAAAATATGAAAACTATTTTTTTATCTTTGTATTTGTTGTGAATTACGAGTTTTAAATTTTAACGTTTAGACGATCGATGCTGACTTCTTTTATTTAAAAACTATAGCTCTTTCCGTTTGGAAAGCCGATGCACTTGTTCTTTCAATTATTTTTGGATATAATTAATATGGTATTTCGAAAATATATGTTTTGCATAAGTATGTTTCCAATGGTTCGGATAGGTTCGGAGTAAAAGTAAAAAAATTCCGGGGCTGTCTATAAAAATATGAATTGTTTAAGACATCTTTAGGAGTTTAACGAACATCATGGAGTGAAAAAATATATTATACAAAATGAATGTGTTTTAATTTAAGTTTAAACAAAGTTTGAAGAAAATTGTATTTAAAAGCACACTTAGAGGTTATCTAGTTTCCGACCTGCCAATTTTATTTGCTGCTATTTAAACGGCAGACATATTCGCTTGGATAAATTTTTTTTCAATATTTTTAGATTGGAGCATAAATATTTGCTTTTTTTTTTTTAAATTGATTGTGAGAGGATTTGACGTTGGCAACTATTTGCGAGATTTTCGGGATTCTCACCCACAAAAACGCATCCAAAAACGTCGCAACGTTGCCACTAAGTCATTTTAGCCAGCAAACAGTCAAAAGTTTTAGCCCCAACGACGGCGGCCATAACTTTATCGTCAATTTCGGGGCCAGCAAAGGCAGCGGCCAGGTCACCCGGGGGTTCGACATGGTGCCCAGAAATCAAAGTTGGTCGGCTACGTGCGCGGCAAGTTGCCTTTTTGCTGTATAAGTGGCTAAGAAGGGAGGGCTAAGAAGAGCGGCTTGAGGGGGTGTGTGTGTGTGGCTAGACTAGTTTGCGTGTGTGCTAAGTCGTGCGTCGGATGCATGCCTTTGTGTGTGCCTGAAAGTGTGCGCGCGTGTGTAAAGTGCAAGTGAACAGCTGATGATGCTGTGCAGCTGACCGAGACAGCGCTTTGTCGCTGATGCTGCCCAGCCAGTCGTAATTCAGCGCGGTGCTCGGTGCCCGGGGTCATGATTTCCGTTCTCATATTGATTGACCAGCCATGAGATTTCTTTTATACTTCTCCTTCACACGTCTCCTCAGCACATTCAAAGTGCATTTGACTTTTATGCATTTGCTAAGAGTGACTTTTATTACATTCACGCCGAGCAGCGCCAGCTAGCCTGGCTAGCCTGAAATCTTGTAGAGACAAACCGGGGTTTGAACTGAACTGAGAGGTTGATTATCCACGCACAGCCCAAACCGTAAGAGCTAGGAATTTCGTTGATTTAATTTTGCCAAGGGCGGGAACTGGATGAGAAAGTTATAATTTTAAGCATAAAACTAGCCTCGGGTAGTGGGCATAGCTTGCCGGACGGGCAAATAAAACACCTCCGTCGGTCGGCGATGCTATTAGAAAATTTTGTATTCTAACTAGGCTTTTAGCATTTAATTTTCATATGTATGTATAATGTATTGAATAATTAGGAAGACACTCGTCTTGTCGACCATTAATAAAAAAATACATAAATATATATAGGGGATACCCTGAACCCTCTTCTTTCGACACAAAATGCAGCTAGCGCTACGCGCTCGATTGCTTTAGTAGTAATAAAAATTAATTTAAAAAAAAATTGTTTCCTTAGTAGGCTTCGAACTTGCAACAGACCGTATTACTTGTTGCCGCCTCTACTCAACATCCATACCAATAATTCAGTCATAATGAGAAAAAAACGAATTAAAATAGCAGCGCAGAAAACCATACAACCGCAATTGGAATGCTGTTGATATAGTTCAAAGCAGACGCGCATGAATGTGTGTGTGTACATGTATACAGAAATTCTTGCAATTTGCACTTGCTGCCGCAAACGCAAGGTCATTCAAAACACATTTTCTTTTATAACATTAGTGTTTCTTAACCGCTCTTAATGAAATTTTCAACAGTATCTACATCTTATTGTACTACAGAATATTCGTATATTATCAAAAAGTCAATTGCATTTAAATTGTGGCTTATATTGGTGGGCAGCATAAATTGGTGTTTTTACTTGATTTATATCTATGAGGTAGTAGCGGAATGGTGGTGATAGCTAAAAAAGGAAAGATACTTGAAATATATATATATACTATTTTAGAAGCTACATGTCAAGTTTGGTGACTTTAGCTCTTATTATTTACCATAATTGCTCAAAAACATAATTTCGATATCGATTTTTATCGATTACTTGGAATCGAAAAGTTATCGAATAATGGAAACAAACTCGTTCTGCGTGGGCACTAGCTCCTATAGGTTATGAGATCCTTGCGTTCATAGATACGGACGGACGGACAGACGGACGGACGGACGTACGGACTGACAGACAGACGGACATGGCTAGATCGACACGGCTATTGATGCTGATCAAAACTCTATATACTTTATGGGGTCGGAGATACTTCCTTCTGCCTGTTTGCACAAATACATTATAAATATTATATATAAATATATAAAAAACCCTTCATTGGAATTTAATGAAAACGATTATCAGCGATTTCGAAAATTCCACCCGTAACTGTAGTAAATTGGCGAAATACGGTTAAAAATTATTTTTTTACTTCCGATATATATTATATCCAACTTCTGGTTCTCTTTTAAATATTACTTTAGACATGTAGTTTGAGATAATTCGGGTAGATTTAATTTATCTACGGCGGTAATTGGGTGAAAAAGATAAATCTACAATTGGAAGCTACAACTTGCAACGGGCAATGCCGGAATACCCGCTAGTTTATAACAAACAAGATTGTGATATTGACAATTGGTTAAATTGTGTGTCCGAAATTGGGTTCTTGAAACCAGGGCTTACGAACCGAGCTCAAGGCGAGGAATTGGTTCGAACCGTGATTCGAACCATTCGATGTTTTTGGTATGCTTGCAGCTTTTGTTAAGATACTTGTAAGATATTTATGTTTATTTTTTTGGGGCCTAAGCTGGATAAGTCCGATCCTGCTGGCTGGGTATATTTATGGATAGCAGCTGAAAGAAAGATCTGTATAAAGTTTCATCAACGCAGCCTCAACACGGAAGTATGATTTTGTATATAACGTAGTAGCCACTTGCATTTTTGTAGAAAAACCTAGTTTTCCTTTGACTTATACGTACTCACTAACTCAGTATACGCACATTCACAAGTCGAGTCAAGTCATTCAACCAAAAAATTTAAAAATTAGTTATCAAAAATTGTGATTTTACAATGGCTGTACCTAAAACTTCTTTAATATCTGTTTTGATCTGCTTGACCTTGTTCATCGTCGGCTTTAATATATTCGAGGGTGATTCCCAGTCGGATCTAGCTGGCGTCTTGTTCTTGGCATGGATAGTTTTGATGCTGGACAAGTTCCGCATCTATTTGCGCATTTTCAATCGACGGTGGATTTTTCCGATCGCTGTGGCGGTCTACTATCTATTCAGCCAAGTCGTAGTGTTCTTCATGTGGGATCCGATATGGTTTAGAATCGAAAATATAATGCACTGGGTCTTTTCGACGCGATTTGTTTACACCATCTATTACAAGTTTCCAACGATTGTCGTCTTTATGAGGCGGCAATCGCTGGCTTTATTCAAGCTAGTCATGATGCTTCTAGTTTTCTACAAGACCCTGAAGAGTTATCACATCCCCGAAGAAAAAAAGAGATACAGACGTGGAATTCATAAAGAAGCGTTAAGGGGCTTACTGTCTAAAACTGGAAATCGAACTCCTCGCGTGTCCAACAGGCGGAAGAAGAAGCAGTAAAGACGTAATGCCAATAGACAATTACCAATGTACTTTTACAGGATTTATTAGTTTAGGTTTGGGTTACAGTATAAGCTCGTTGATTATATATTCAGCAGTTGTACACTTGCAATTGAGTACTACTTAAGTCGTTGTATCTCAAATGTACAGGTTAGTTGGAAATTCATTTAATGCTCATTTTTACCATATTGCTATTACGATACTCAGACGGTTGATGGAACAAACAGATCAAATCACATATTTAATGAGATTTTTTACGATTTATGTAATGTTTCACTATATAAGTAAGTTTCGTGGGTAAATTAGGTGTAAGCATTGGTCTTCTAAATTATTTATTTTAACAGGTTTCGGTTTTAGCACAAGCTAGTTTATTATATGGCTAATGGTTCGTGTCGGACGCTTCTCATTTCATTGGGTACTATTTAAGTGATGTTATTTCCACCTTACAGGTAAGTTCAAAGATACTTAAAGTTTGCACATTTTTACCATATTTTTTTATTTTTTACTTAGACGATTAATGGAACAGACTATTATACGATTACTTATTGTGTTCTGTTAAACTTGTTGATTCTCCAATATATAAGTAAGTTCGAAGTAAATTCGCGCGTTTCATAGCAACTTTAGATTAATGCAGCAAGTCAAACCATGCGTTTTAATGAACTTTAACATGATTTATTTTTATTTATTATTCATTTGGTTTTACTGGATTTCGGTTTGAACACAAGCTAGTTTCTTATATTGCCAGCATGATAAATCCAAGACATAGGTAAGTTGAAAGTAAATACTTGGATTATTGATGAAACAAACAGATCAAAACGCTTATTAAATATTATCTCCAATATATAGTTACGCAGTAAATGAAAGTATGCGCATTTTACTATTAATTATTTGTGCGAACATATTTTAATGGACTTTGTAATTACACGATTTATAATTACAGGTTTCGGCTTTCGTTAGTTTGTGCCATACAATTAATTCAGGTTAAAGTAAGGTTCATTAAAGTATACCCATTTTCACACTTTTCACTTTTTGGGCGATCGATGGAGCAAACATCAACATATGTCTTGTACTTTATCTGAAGCATTTATAATAGACGTTGATTATCTTTATTTCGACAGTAATACAAATTGTCCCTCAATTACATTACAATTGTCTACTATTTAGGTTCGAGGTATGCGCCTTTTACAATATTGTTTTTCCAACCGTCAGACGTTTGATTATCAAATCAAATGACATGTTTACAGGTAGATTTTATCCGATATCTTTTTAATACAAGCTCGTTAACTACGTTGCCAGTAATCACAAGGCATTAATATAATTGGATACTATTTAACCCATGGTATCTTCAATTGGTAAGTACAAAGGAAAACGAACTATGTGCGTTTCACTATATTGTTGTTACTTAGGCGATTTATGGATTATTTTATTGGATTATATGACTGGTTGATTCATGTAGATTTTGTTTACTTTGTTGCTTAGAGTCTGTGGAACAATTACATTTTTTATGATTGAGTTTTATTTAACTCATGGTATCCCCAATATATAGGTAATTCGAAGTTAATTTAAGCATGCGCGTCTTACGATTTTTCCGAACAAATCAAATCGCATTAACACAGGTCGATCAAAACTGATTTTGACTGTGGTCAATTTTAAGAATCCGAAATCGAAAACATCTAACAGACGGAAGAATTAAGCCGGAGTGCTTAGTCCGAGGCCGACAGTTTTGATATATTTGGGTACTATTTTACACTGGTATCCAAGTAAATTGAAGTATATACTTATATCTGTAGGGTCTCCCTAATTGCTCGAACAAACAAAACAAATCGATGCACACCATTTTAATGGAATTGGATAATATTTCATTCATGGCAACTTCCATACACAAGTAAGTTCGAAAAAAAACTATGCTCATTTTTTACTATATTCTTTTTTTGAATACCTAGATATTTGATGGAATAAGCAAAAGACTTTAAAATAATTGTGTCCTATTTAGTCAGTTGAATGCAATGTATAGGTTCGAAGTAAATTAAAGTGTGATTATTTTTAATATATTGTAAGAAAAAAAATAAAATAGTTCACATATGTTATCTACTTAATTCAAGACGGAAGAGTAATATATTTAAATATTTGAAGGTAAATACCAAACTCAGCTAAATGCGATTTAAACAATTTTTTTTTTGAATCCGAAACATTAAAATCGTTTAGGTTAGGCCGAAATACTTGAACCACATCTAATGAACTACCTTTGGCTATTGAATGTCGCATTTTCTGTATGCAAAAGAAAAACATGTTTGATTTCGAGCTCTGCGGTATTTATGTATGTGTTCATTTCCTCAACCTTTTGCCCTCATGCCCCGTGCTCGTGCTTGACACTGAATTCACACCTGTGAATCAGTTGCCCGCCTTGGTCAGCGTGTTCCCTGGCATGTCCGCACATGCAGCTCATATTTGGCATGCATTTTAATTAAGCCTTTGACTTTTTTTGTTAGCCAAACAATGAGAATTCGATGAGAGATTTCGTCTGGCAGTGTGCCATGAATCATGTGACCAAAAGCGGACGTGCATAGTGTTTTGATTATAAAATACGATTTTAATGGAACCTGTTACCTAATGCCTGAACAAAAGCGACTTGCAATTGGAAATTAAATGCGAGCATCGAGAATGCAAAGCAAATCAACTTTGAACCAATTATCATCTATTGTCAAAGACGCAGCTGCAAAAGTTTCTTGTCCACAAATTATCCATGTACATGGACAATAGTTCAAATTGGTTTTTATTGTCGGTTAAAATGAATACAGGATTGGGATTAGAATTGGAAATAAAGTTGTCAAATTTGGTCAGGGAATTAACAACCTTTCCGAATGTGGAGGTTAACTAACCTTCTAAGCATATGGCTTACACATTTGTTGTTCGAATAACAAAATTTGCCCTCATACCCTCATTCTTCGACAGATTATTCCGATATGTAAGAAGCATAGTGAAGTGTAGTAAATGGCGAGTTTAGTCGAGATCTTATAAAAAAAAAAACATTATTGGGACCGATCCTATATGCAAGAAATAGACTAAAGAGAAATAAGTCTTCGCATAGATTCTTCACTTGATACTTAATATATTTACTTAATGAGCTCGGATATATTCCCTTTTTACGAGTTTCACATTTCATGACAATATTATAATATCCTCGACAAGGGTATGCAAATATGTAGTTCTATTTCCCGGTTGCTGTTGTCAATTTACAATTTAAGGGAAAAACTTTTGCTGGGATTTTGGGTGTGTTTGTAAACTTAAATGACAAGCTATTAAAAATCATCTTTCAGAGCTGTTAAATAGTTGTTGGCACACACGCAGCCCCGTCGCAACGCCCCTTAAGAAAACTTTTGGTATGAAAACTCGTGGCAACAAAACCGATAACCGAGAACTATTTTTATGGCGTCTGACAGGCTGGGGTGCCTGTTTCTTTGTCTTTCTGTTTTTCTCGTTGTGTGTGTGCGTGTGTGCGTGTGTGTGTAAGGGTGTGTGTCTGTGCATGTGTGTCCTTTCATTGCAATGCATTTAAAGTTTCGTTTCATTGCGATTCCATCATACATCAGCTGCCACAGGGATTTCTTTCAGTTTTCTGTTTCTGACAGGCATTCAGGAATGGAATTGCAACTGCAACTGAAATCCAATTGGCATATTTAATTGCTTAACAATGTTGCAATGTTGCAATGTTGCAATGTCCACTTCTGGTGTGTTCCATATCTAATGGATGGAACGTCAATTAGTCATTCAACCACTGACAGCTAAAAGCGCTGGCATTTCATAATTCATCAACTTTTATTATAGCTAATTGCAAATTAAGCAAGCTTAATTCGAGAGTATTGCGAGTGTTGACGGTAATGGAATCTGGTAATTATATTATAACGTATCACTTGTCTCTGATCAGTTGTCGTAATCAGTTAATTGCTTGTTGACTCCATATGACACCCTCAGATTAAACTAAAACAATTTTAGCTCTGCCATGAAACGTGCTTTTAATATAGCATAACGAATTCTTTAATAAGCCACTTAATTTAAAGTTTATGTATAACTAAAACTATATTTTACTGGAAATTAATCATATTACGCAAATAATAAGTAATTTTGTCAACGAGGAGGTAAATAGTTCTACAAAGTCCAACAAAGATTGTCGCTGACTCAGCTCACGGTTCAAGGCAACTTATAGCTAGTTGTACACATCCATGTCCATGTCTTAGGTTTCAATGCTGGTCATTTTTTTTTTCAATATTTTAATCATTTTATTTATTATTGCCCGTTCTACTGAACATATTTTCATATGAAGTTGCGGGCCAAATTTAATCTCTATCCAACATTGGTTGTGTCCTACTTAAAAGTTTTTAATTTGAATTTTTAAAAATGGATTCTGATTCAGGTGTTTTTTGCCAACAAGTTTTATTGTTAAAAGTACAACATATACGTACTATAAACTCGCTTACGAAGCAGTTAATTTTAATGAGTTTGCGTTCGAAATGTATGATAAATGCTATTAAAATGCCATCGAAATTGGCCATTTAGGAGTTTAAGCAATGATGTTGTATGTAAGCCAACTGAGACTCAGGCCGCAATTGTCAGCAAATTGATTTTTGACGACGTTTCCTTTCACAATAAACGGGCAGCAAACTTCTATGTAAATACAGAAGGGCAAAGAAGGCAGTCCTATTTGAGCTCAAGCCATTTGACTTTAGTCAATCAAATGTAACTGCGGTCAATGACAATTTGTGGCTTAAATTGTTGAACGTAAGTTTATGGAAAAAGAAAAAAAGACCACAACATTGCAACAATTTGTGTGTGTATGTGTGTGTGTGAAAACATTTAACATTAACCACGTTTACCTGGCTCTGCAGCTTGCTCAACAAGCCCTGTTGGGCCAGTAAAAAATTGGACGTGGGGGCCGCAGGTGGAGTATTTACTGTGGGCAAAGCAATGTGCGTTTATATTGGAAAAGTTTGTGAGCCACTTGTGCGTTTTGTTGCAAGTCAAATGGCAACTAAACGAGCAGCACCATGTGCAACTGCCCACAAGGACCAGCAGAGCGGCAACATGACAAACAGGACACCAATAGGAACTGGCTAGAATACTTGGGCGCAGCCATCAGTTGCAGGCAGTTAACCCTCCAGACTGTGGCCCAGTATGGCAAGTACTGTAACTGTAATATCCGTGTAAGTGGCTAACGGAAATAACAAGCGTGCAGCTCACCCTATCACCCCAATCACACCCTGCCACCGATTGCAGTTGCAGCTGTTGGCCTGCGGCGCCACGCAATGTGGCCGCAATGATGTCACATAACTGACAAAACTTTTGCCTCGAGCTCCAATCCCGACTGAGCTGATGAACATTGTTTGCTCTGCAGTCACTTGTGCGTCATGGATGGGGACAACGATGAGGTTGAGCGAGCAGAACAAAGCTCAATTGAAATGATAGAAAGTCATCGCATTAGCATTACGTATACGACACCGACTCCAAGCGGCTTGGCTGTTGACCTGTTGAAGGTTCATATAGTTAATACGCACATAGCATAAAGCCCGCGGCTGCTTTAATCCGCGCAATATGGATGGCGGAAACCTCTTTTTGCAAATTATACAAATTTTCTTAGTTGCATACCTGTTGTTAATTCGCGCATAATTTGCTCAATTTGTATTTACTAATAATATATAGATCTATAGAGATGGAAATGTGACTAGACCTATCGAATAGTTGGCTTTTATAGAACCGACGAATACTTCAAATGTGCGGCATTAAAAGAATACCTTTAAAGTTCAACTATTGATAAATGTCTGACACAAGGCTCGTTGCACAAAGCGAATAACTTAAACTTGTCGCACATTTTTAGAAATTTAAAAGTATTAGACCTATGAAATACCTCTGTTGTATTTCACGTTAGAATATTTGAAATGCTATTTGGTTAGAGAATATCTCTCATGTATGTATGTATTTAAGATATGCAACTAGTGCCGAAGACTGGTAAACTGTATTCCAGTTAGAATATATTATGCTAAACATTTTTCCATTTAGCCGTCGATATATTGAATAATAGTTATTTTGGAAAAATATGTAACAGGTAGAATCAAAACTATAAAATCTACAAACCTTAAATTAAAATGATATTCTCTTATTGCGCACGCAGCAAGAGTTTATATTTATATCCCAAAAGTAAGCTTCATTATCATAATAACGATCAAATAATTGAAGCAAGCTTTCTAGAGCATATCTCAGAGTTAGAAACATTCAATTAGGGATAAAGCTTGTCGTATAGTATTCTTAGATCTGGAATACTGGAGATTATTTGTATACCTCCATTTTTTAAATCATCGATAAAAGCCTGAGGACCCAACCAGGCTTGGCGTAATATCATCTAAGCCAACTGTGTTGTAATAAAAATGTATGCTATTTTTGATTCAATACAATAAACAAACAAACAAACAAAAAAAAAATCATCGATTCGCGAAGTAATGAATCTCACATAGCTTGGGAGACAGTATTTCTAATGAAAGGAAGTGGCTGGGTAGAGGATGCCTTCTAGTCGGTCACTCCTCACTAGAGCACTGATACATGCTTTACTTGATATATGTAGGGGAAACTATTTGTCGGGAAACTTCCGTTTGAATTTGTTGTTGTCCTTGCGGTTGCCATTCCATGTTGCAGTTGTTGTCGCTTTTGCCGGGGTGTGTCATTTTTGTTGTCATGATTAGGCGCGGCACATCGAAAAATCAGACGGCAGTCAGACAGAAAGGCAACTAGCTTCCTCTAAAAAAGCTCACCTCGGAGTCCTCGCCTAGGCAATGGCAGCTTTTGACTCGCTATTTGTGTGTGTGTGTACGTATGTATGTATGTGTGTCGTTCACAACTTGTCAACGCACATAAATTTTCCAGCGCGTGCACACACAGGTTTGGGTTAGAGAGGTACACACTCGGTTGCACACACACAGGCACTCACACACACACACAGTTACACATACACAGTCACACTCACACACAAAGATCAGCTGTAAAAGGACAAGTCAAAACATTGCCGAGAGCGCCATTTTCTTAGCAACTGGCAACGAAGTGTTTTCCCTGCTCTACTTGCCGGCGCCCCTCTGGGCCCTTGTCATTTGTCTGTTGGCTAATCAATGTGCGTGTTGCTGCCGCACAGTTGGCCCAGTTCTTATTTGTTCCAAGAAAAATTTGTATTCAATAATAAATTATTAACGAAAGTTGTGTACTATTTATGTATAGTATTCTATTTTAAGAGATTGCAAGCATTTGATAATCTTCTAGTGCTGCATTAGCGGCGTTTTCTGAATTTATAAAGTGTGTAGCATGGACAAAGTATATGTTACGATACCTTACCACACATTTTTGGAATATGGCATTAAATCTAGAGTTAAATATTAGTTTGTCAAAATATAAGTATCATGAATTTAGCAAATATCGATATAACGTCTGGGTAACCTTTAAACTAACTAGTAGCAATGGGTTTCTGCTGGACATCACAGTCGACGCCACAAAAAACAAAAAAATTATTCCACATTAGAACTTGTATAAAATATAAAGAATATAAACTGAATATTCTAAAATCATTTTGAATGTTGTGAATGGAATTTATAAGTCTCGTCT